GTGAACTTGTACACATACTTTTAGAGCTATTCAGTTAACTACAACATTAAATACATTTTCCCTAAGGATGCCCTGAAGTCTTTCCTATGAAGGAATTGTAACATGAAATCATCTCTAAAACTTTCCGTGAAAGCAGATCTATGCCACATGTGAATACCTTCCGAAGCAATGGACATAAGGATAATGTTACCTCTTGTTCTTAATATAAAATCTTGTTTAACTTTTATTTTGGTTCTAAATATAAGATTCCTATTCATTTTGTCTATCATATTTATGCATTTTTTTCAAAATAATCCTTTTAACAATAGTCGTTCTAGCCAATGCACTTGATTAGCAAGAATATTTTAAAAAAGACAACACCTATTTATTATAAATAACTAACTTAACTTATTTTTTTAATCCCCTAAAATTAGTCAACTAACTCTTATAATTAGGACCGGAGGTAGTACTCAGTACATAGAAAGTCAACTTTATTATAAATTGTATGCTTGTGGGTGATGCGGAGCTTATAGCTTGAGATGGCAATTGATTTTGATCCTAATTAAGAGTGACATTTTGAACTATGGGATGTGTCATTTTGACAATACTCTTGGACACGTAATATTAAAATTTGAGCATATGGCTTGCTATGGGCATCTATATGTAGTATTTGCATTGAGAGAATTATAATGAGGTCCTCAAAAAAGAAAATAACTATTACAATGTCCTAATGATAAGTTAAAAGTTGTTATTCCCTATTATAGAACTTGTTATTATAAGCTGCTCAATTATCATTGGGACTTTCTAATAATTATTTTTTTTTTAACTTTATTGCAATTTTCTCATTTGCATTTGAGTTGCTATTTTTTCAAGTTAAGTCAGTTAGGTTTGATTTATAATTAATGGTTAAAGAGGATTATCACTGTCATAATGCAGACTATTGTCATAATAGCGACTTCAAGTTATTGTTAGAAATTATGGCCAAGTATAAGAGCTATGTGGCCCCATCCATAAGACCACAAGGCCAGTTGTTTGAAAAAAATCTTTCTTTGAGCTTTTGATTTTTTTTTTGGTATAGAAATTTTAAACAGGGGTTTGGGCTCAATTCAAGCCAAAAGCAAAATGCTTGAATAACTTTTGTTAGATGGTACTAATGTTAGACAAAGCGAACCTATATTATACTTTTAGACGTTAACTTAGGTACCTTCATTCTAAGACGCTTCTCCAAGCACCGTGACAAGATAGGTCTTGTGAGCCTAATCACTTTGAATTTAGGTTCAACAATATATTTTTGGTTCAAATTGCTCGTAATTAATTCTAACTCATCAAAGTTAATTTTCCTTATTTTTGTTTAAACTTATGTTTGAAATTAAGGTACAACAATGCTCTTCCTTACTTTTCATTCATTCCAACAAAATATACTCTAAAGTCATTCAATCAAATAGTATCAACTTATTTAACACATAAAATGAAGAGAAATAAGTAAAAAAGAATAATTTAATTTTAAGAATAGAAAATGACATAAAACCACATCTCTATTGTTAATTTTGAAAAATAAAAAATATAAAAATAATAGTACACATCAAATGCAAAAATAAAAAATATTTATCTTTCAAATTTACCATCAAATAAGGCCTTGATATTTTTTCCTGTGAACAGAAAAATCTTCATCTATCCAATTTCCGAATCCGCCACCAAAAGTATACACTGGTTTGGATAATGGGCCTGACGTCAATATTGGGCTTACGGATTTGGGTTCATTAAAGCCCATGACAGAACATACTTCTCACCTATTATGACTGATATCGTTATCTTCCACAATCCTTTGCTCCTATTTAACCCTTCGCCCTGAGGCTATCCCAGCGGCCACTATTCCCTCGTCCCGGCTCATATGACAGTTTTATTTTTATTTTTATTGCTTTTTAAAAGAATTATTATGATGAAGTAATTAGGGGACGATCATCTAAACATCAAAATCTAAATCTAAATCTAAATCTAAATACTAACAGGTTATTAGTTAAGATGGTAAGCGGATTTATTTCGCAAGGAGAACACGAGTTAAAATTTTGGAAAACACACTTATTAAAATGACGTGATAGTTTCAAACCCTAAGTGACTTGAGCACACGCTGAGCTATGCCAAAAAAGGAAATTCAAATTTAAATCCCTCAATATGGCATTTCACGTTGCTTGCCCAATTACGCTGATGCTAGCTTCCTCTTGACACGATGTTGCAGCTGAATTTTTCTGTGCCAAACCTTTTCTAGCTTCTCTTTTCTCTCCAGTCGTCTGATTCAACTGCAGCTTCATTAGGTTCCTCCTTTTTGTTCCTTGCGATTCCTGAAGAAAACCTATGTATCTTGAAGGGTATTATATATTGTGGAATCTATTACACAAGCCACTCATTTATGGAGGCTGCCAATAGACTGATTAATAAAGAAAGTGGATTTCTTGTTCGATATTGAAGCAATTTATATTGTACTTTTCACTATGACTCGCTTGTTGCTGTTTTGAACTGTTTGTTTCTGGGATTTCCTGGAGTTTGCTTATTCTGGTTATAATGATATTTCTTATCAACCAGACTTAGTCAGGTATCTATCTTCACTGTGAGCCTGGTAGGGACTGTTACAAGTCTGTGAGTTTGAAAAGCATAAGCGAAGAATTTTGTTGTCAACAAATGATAATGAGCAAAAAGAATACCCAGTGGCTGATTATGAGCTTCCTGCACTTCCTCCACTCAGCAGAAGCTTATGGTTGACATATAAAACACAGACACTCACATGCCGGAAGAATTTCGGAATTAGTCACTTTTTTTTTTTCCACATTAGGATGGATGGAACTCTAGACTTCTACCAACATTTTACATCCTAACCTACCCTTACTATTTGAAATAACTGGTTAGCTTCAGCTAGCTTAACCACAATAACAATTAATTTTTGGAACGGGATTTCAACACATACTGCAAAGGAAATTAAATTTGTGCCAGCTTTGTAACAGGACGTCGGCATCGTCGTAGGCAGAACCTACATATACTTGTGTAAGGATGGTAATATAGGCCAATCCACAATGAGTTAAGATTATGCGGCATGGGTTGAAAAGGCCCGCATAATAACAGGTTTGATTTTAGCCAACCTAACATATTATGGCGGATTGACGAGTTGCCCTGCCAACCCCTTCAACTAATTTTTTTTTTGTTTAAATTTTTTTATTTTAAAAATTTTTCTTATATAATATAAACAAAATATAATGATATTTTTATCTCTCCATCAAATACTTGTTTGAAAACACGAAATAAATGATATAGGTATTTTCTTTAATGTTTTAGATAAGATATAAAATATAATAATATGATTATAATAATTAACAAATTTGAAAAAATTAAAAAAAAATTAATGCGGATTAACCTGTGAGTTGGCGGGTTGTGGTTCTGGGGGCATGAGTTAAAAATGTTCATTTGCTATCAGGTTGGCTATTAGTGGGTTGGCGAGTTGGACCCACAGATCCAACACATATTACTTGCTCTATACCTAAGGGCCATAATTTTTGATATTGTGCCCCTTGTAGCTGAAAGATTTTGCCCCCCCTATTTTTTTTTTTGGAAGTAGTATTTTGGTTGATAAGTATCTTGGCGCTCATCTCATGAGTATCTTGATATTCATTATTGTGGTAAAATCTAGACCATTTAGATAAAACTCTAATAGTCTAAATTTAAAATTTTCAATTGATAATATTCAAATTAAAAATTTATTTTTGAAAGTAATGGTTGAGATATCATTTTTCTTTTGGATTCTTCACCTATTAAAATAAAAGAAATTTTAAAAAGATAAAAGTACAAAAAAATTGAAACTTGGACCGTCCATATTAAATTTGGGTGATTCAGATTTAATGAGTACTATGGTGCTCATCACTAAAACTTGTTACTATGTTTTTGTACTCAGATTTTGCACCGCTATAAATCTAGATCCTTTGTTTTTTTATTCTGAATTTATAATATTTTAACTTAAACCCAGTTCCTTGATTTCATTAAATTCAAAACTCTAACAAAAATTTTACAAAAGAATACACTTATTTAATTTTTTTTATTTTTTGTAGTTTCTTTTGAATTATTATATGAATTTATAATTTTTTTATAGTTAAATCATATATAAGGAAAAAAATTAGATCAAGTTCTTTATGCTCATTATGTCAAGTTTTCCAATAATGTCTGGCCATATGGCTTCTTTTGTTTCATGTGAATTTATAATTAAATACTAATATTTTAAAAATAAGATATATGGTCGTGTGTAATTGAAGAATTTAACATAATTGATATAAGTAACCTGACGTAAGTATTTTGCTATATGGGTGACATTTTCATGTATTTTTAATCAAGTAATTGAAAATTCTATAGATCTTAAACACAAAACAGAAATATTTTTAAAAGAAAATTATAATTTATTAGCGAGTCACACAAAAAAAAAAACTAGGATTTCAACAAACTATCCTGATAATCAAGTTCAGGTGCTCAAACTATATTGGAACACGTGGCAAGCTCAGAAAAATAAACAAGTGGCTAGGAAGTCTGTTATAGTTTCTTGGTCATTCACGCATTATGAATATTTTAAAACTAATTGCACAAATCATCTTCTACCGCCTTGCTTACACAACCCCGATAAGTTATGGCAAACAAATTTGTTTATTAATAATCTTTTCTAAATAGTTTACTTTACACAGTTGCACAAAGATAGCTACAATAACGAATTAACGTCCTGTTAAATACGACACGTCCTCAAGAAAATCCTTATATTAATGAGGAAAAAAGAGAACAGGCATTGATTTGGTTTCTTATCTCTCAAGGCATTATTATGGAATTGTAATTAAGTTTGAATTTTAAATTTCCTTCCCTTGGTATACAACCCTAACTAGTAGCTCTTAAATATTTAATAATTTTTTACTTCACTAATTTGAATCACTTGGACTCTTCCCTATAAATTGCTCCCCAAGGCTTCCAAATTTCTCATCTCTCATTTGTTCCTCATCAAACGCTTTATACAATAACAAACAATGGAGATATCATCCAAGCTTTTACTTTCTTTCTTCTTCTTCTTTCTCTTTGCTTTCATGGCTTATGCTCAAGATTCACCACAAGACTATGTGGATGCCCACAACGCAGCAAGATCCGAAGTGGGCGTTCCCAACATAGCTTGGGATGATACAGTGGCTCAATATGCCCAGAACTATGCTAACCAACGCAAGGCTGACTGCCAGTTGGTTCACTCCGGCGGCAACTACGGAGAGAACCTTGCCGGTTCCACCGGCGACCTGAGCGGGACGGATGCCGTGAAGCTGTGGGTGGACGAGAAGGCGAACTATGACTACAACAGCAACTCGTGTGTTGGTGGTCAGTGCCTGCACTATACTCAGGTGGTATGGAACACCTCGGTTCGCCTAGGTTGTGCTAAAGTAACGTGCGACAATGGAGGAACTTTCATTGGCTGCAACTATGATCCTGCTGGAAATATTGTTGGACGAAGACCTTACTGATCGAGGAAAGCAAAGTGATTATGATGTCATAATATATATATAGCAAAGAATTATGTTTTGTGTCAAGATCATACGTTAGTGTCATGGTGTGATAATATGAATAAATTTGAAGTACTTTTGTGTGTTAATGTATTCTTGTTTATGAAGTTTTTTGTGTTCTTGCATGGTTAGAGCAAGTTTTTATTTAATCAACAGTGGTTTCATTGGAAAGATACACATATTTGTTTCTCCAATCCTAACTATAAAACCCATTTTATAATGTAATTTACAATATAAAATGGGTCTTATATTTAAAATCAGAAAATATGTGTGTGTGTGACGTCTTTGAAGGTTGTGCCTTTATTTTCTCATAAAGGTGTAATCTTCAGCTGTACAGAAACCAATCAAATACTCGCTCCACCCTCCCGTCCTTGTTATGGGGACTAATTAAGAACAATATGAATAGTATAAGAACTTTAATTCAAATTAGTTAATATTTTTAAAATAAAATTATTCTCAATAGAGATCATCAATTAATAGAGGTTGTTTAATTCATTATTAGTTAAGGAATATCAAAACAAAGGACGTCTAAGGATAAAAATTAATGAGACAAACGGCTTTATATTAGCTAGAAACCATAGAAAAAATCTTATAATGAAGATGGGAATACCATTTGGCCCAGAAAAAAATTGGAATATCTCATATATATGGTTCAACAAAGTCATGTTTATAACTCCTTTCATTAGGATCAACGTTTGTTAGTACGTTAATAAATATTTTAATAAACAAGTCACATGACAAGTAATACCAATCATTTTTAAATCTCAAAGATTAATCAAATTATGAAAATAACATTTGTATAATAATTTTATTGGAAGAAAATTAGCCATAACCCATAGGTTCTGGATAAGAAAATTAAAAACTAATAGGTCTTAACGAATTCAACTTTTTCTTTTATTAGTAAATAATGCAACTTGATTTGTAAATATGGAAATTTGGCTTGTAAACTTAAATTGTTAAATTTGATTAGTAAATGGCACAACTCAATTTATAAATATATATTTATATATATGCAGGTTTGACTTGTAAATTTAACGTTTATAGAACTTATCTGTGTCTAATTTTCTTCTCCAACCCTATGTTTGATATGAAAAAAATGGAGAGGAGGGGAAAGAAAATTTTAATGAGCTCAATTTAAAAAAATTAGAGAAGTGGGATTTTAAAATTTTGATATAGAGAAATGGTAAGATAAAAGGAAAATAAAATTTAATTAAGAGCTTTTAGCTCCACTTCTTCATATTTTTCAAATCAAAGTCATTAAAATTTTTCCTCCCCTCTCCTGAGTGTCCCTCATAGCGAAACGGATCCCAAGACTTATGGGTATTTTTCCCATTTTATTACTCTTCCAAAAGCAAGACCTCCAATCTTCAATTACCCAAAAAAAAAGAACGCAAGACCTCCAATAATAAAATGTACATATGCCAGATATAGTCCATTTTGATTTGGTCATTTCTCATTACTTAAATTGAAAGGACAATAAGTGAAAATATGAGAGACATTGAAATATATGAATGGAAATCACCCAAACATTGCGTATTAGAGCGACGACGAAGACAAGAAAACAAAAATAACATGACAAAATCAGAAGACCCAAAAATATAATGGAAAATTAACCTGTTAGTCCTTATAGTTTGATCAAATTTTGAATCAAATCCCTATAGTTTTTTTTTCTTTTTATTTCGTCCTTAATGTTTATTCTGTCAATGATGATAGTCCTTCTGTCAAATAAACTTGTAAACGCCGTTAATATGAGTTAAGAGGGATGAAGTGGCTTGAATAATTTGGATAAAAAGTCTGACTAAAAAAACGCGTGAAGCCAATGGGGTGTGTGTTGCGGGTCAGTTTAAAGCGACGGAAGTGCCGGAACTCATTGACAAGGTAGATAGCCATTGTCAGAACTCAGACCTTCCAACCCAACCGATTTCACAAAGTCTTCTTGAAGAGCCTCTGATTACCTAGTTCTTTGCATTCAATGCCTATAAGCAATTGATGAAGCTGCTCCAGGGTATTAGGGTTGCTCCGACATCGTAGCCTTCTACTTTCTTTATTCATTTTGACCAATTTAAAAATCAAAAGACAAAAGCTAATGACCCACGTCTTTGCGCTTTTCCTTCTTTATTTGCAACCAGGCTCATTAACATAAACCCACACTAACTTGCTTCATCCCAAAGCCGTTTCTTACCCCTTAATGACTCCAAATCTCTAACAAACTACACACACACGTTGAGTTCAACATGCACCCTTCCTTAGGGCCAAAAAAGCAAAATGCTCTGCCTCTACATTTGATTTATATGTATGATCTTTTGGAAACTCTCGATAGTTTGTTCCTCAAACTCTGGAGAAGCAAAGAAAGATGAAAAATGTGTACTTATGTGTTGTTTACTTTTTATATGTCTCAGGATGGGGGTTGCATATTATACACATATGCTTCTGGCTTTCACTCATGAATGAATATATAATGAAATTGTAATGGAAAAGCAGCCAGAGAAATAATATTAAAAATCATAATAGAGTAACTTTTGAGAACTCTAGTTTTTAAGGGGTCAAGTTAGTACATGTGGTATTCACACATAAGATGGGTCTGTCTTCTCCAACCGGACAAATACTCCACAAAATGCTACTCTGTTTTTTTAAGCCAAAAACAGGGTGATGAGTGGCCCTACACTAGACTTTCTGAAATCGATTGGGTGGGAAGTTTAGCAGTTCATTTGCCCTGAAACTGACCCACAACACAGAACCCATTGGCATTGTGGACGTCGAGGCAAACGAAGATACATGAGGGCGCTTAATGAGATTTTATTCTGGCCACTTCATCCTTGGTAACCCAAATTAACGGCATTTGCAAGTTTATTTGACAGAAGGACTAACATCACTAACGGAATAAACATTAAGGATGGAATTAAAAAGCAAAAAACTATAAGGACCTGATTCAAAATTTGATCAAACTATAAGGAGTAGCAAATTAATTTTCCCAAAATATAAAAACATAGTTTGGAAATTTATATACGGAAAGCTACACATTGTTGGTTGTTGATCAATACATATATATATATATATATATATATATAATCAGTGTCAATAAAAAAAATTAAAATCTAATGCAACCCAAATTGTTTACATGTTGTGAATCCTTGACGACTCATCTTCTAGTTAGGGTTAAAAATAATCCTATCTTGATGAATATTTTATTGACAATAATTTGAATAAGTTTCTTTATTAATTTATTGATTAAACATGCTGAACAAAGAGTAATTGTCAATTGTGCAGTCATTTAGGGCTTATAAAATCAAGGTAGGGTAGGTTTGAGCTGATCCAGATGCTTATTGACTAAACAATTCTAATTAGTTTCATATTAATTAGTATAATATTCAACACGTTGTTGTTTAGCCATCTATAGTTAACGAGAATTACAGTTTTCAGGCCAACAACATTATTCAAAGCTTTAAAAATAATGGACACGCGAGCTACGTAGTAGGCTTTTCTCCAGGAAAGACAAGGTTACGTGTGTGTTTGTGTGCCTAATGTGTATACATATATATGCGGAAAATTTCAAAATCAAGGATTGTCCATTTATTATAAAAAAAATTTGTATAAAGTGTTGTATGAAATTCATAGCGTATGCAACTATTTAGAAGTCATTATTAGTATTCCTTTTTTTTTCAATTTCTATTCACTGCATAACCTACTACTAATTAGAGAAAAAAATTTTAAAACAAATGTAAGTTTAATTCAGCATAAAGGATATTTTTTTTATTTACATCCAACATTTTTAATTTTTTTTATGTGCATCTAAGAACTTAAAGTATTTTGTTGTTCATGGAGCATCTTGAAGTTCTTTTTTTAATATGCATCCTACCCCATAAATATCTTTATCCTAAACCTTGAATTGTGGTGCTCGATGTACTTAGAAAAATATTTAAGGGTGGTGGACAAATTACTAAATACTTTATAGTGCCGAATATACTTAAATAATATTTCATAATGTTAGATAAATCATGAGATACTTTAAGGTAATGGACACAATTAAAAAAAAGCTAAAGTATACTTTTAGTTTTTTAACTTTACATAAGGTTTCATTTTGGTCTCTTAACTTTAAAAATGAACTTTTAGTCCTCTAACCCTAAAACTGTTAACAAAAAAAATAATGATATTGAACTTTTAAATACTGATAAAAATTACTAAATCCTAACATATTAAGTTTAATATTCAAAGCAACCATGATTGTTACAAAAAATTATCATTCAAGACTAGCAATTTTAGGGTTAAAGGACTAAAAGTATAATTTTTAAAATTAAGAGACCAAACTGAAACTTTACATAAAGTTAAAGGACTAAATATATACTTTAGCCTTTAAAAAAATACTTTAATACTAAATGAACTTTAACCCAAAAAACAAAAAAAAGTTTAAAAACGTATTTTTTTGAAAATTCAAATCACAGCAATTAGTATTTGGGCTTGTTAGGTGTGATACATCTTATTTCTATATCATATTTTCTTGTTTGTTTGGAAGCATTTATGTTTTTATCAATAGTCCATCATAAGAGTGTTTACTTGTCTCTCGCTCCAGCGTCCCATCCCGCTCGATCCCAATCATTTTGGGACAGGGTAGTCCTGCCCTGAAAATTTTCACGATGAAATAAAACTAGGACAGGACAAAGATGTCTCGAGTCCCATGTTCTATTTTGGTTTCCTCCCAATATATTATCTTTTTTTAATTTAATAAATTTATTTTACTTCATTATTAATATAATCATATTATAACTTTTATAGTTATGTTGTCTACAATTTATAAGTTTTTCTATATAGGTTAGATGATATTTTTTCAGGATATCTTGAGTTTATATATTTTTTATTTTTCAAAACGAAAATTTTTTTTGTTAATTTTCTATTATTATCTATTTTAAGCTAATTTTTAGCTATTTTATTTATATAATTTTTATTATGAGTTTTCACACTCTAAATACATTTAGTTGTGAAATAAAAAATTTAAAAAGATTAATAAAAATAAAAGGGACGTCTTACTCCTGTCTCGGTTATGTCCCATCTTAAATGGGACAGGGCCACTATTGATATCCCATAAACACCCATAAATCGTGATTAATTTATATTATTTTTATCTTAATAAAAATTATTTTTATGCATATTTTTAATTTAACTTAAGTCTAGAGAATAAGTTGTGCATTATATATATACATAAAGAAGCTTATTCTGAATATTTATTTATATAATGGCATATTATACTGATTAATATATATATAGATATATACACACATGTGTGGAATTTTGGGTTAAAGATTTATATTTATTAATAATGACGAAAAAGGGGTTAAAGTAAAATAGGATTTGATGTATGATCCAAATTCAAATCAGAGCCATGTGCTAAGTGGACATTTATATTGGGGCATCACATGCACAAGATTCCTTCATTGAAAACGACAAGGAAGACTTGAGAAGATTGGGATGAAAAATCACAATCATTAATATTGAAAGGAAAAATTACAGATCCAAAAATAAATATATTTTAATAAATTTTATTTTTTAAAATAGTCAAAAAAATTTTGAAATTAAAAAAATAATCTCAACGAACTACATTTTTTTAATTTAATTTAAATTTAAAATTCTTTATAATTTTATTATATTTAATATTTAATATTTTTTGTGGAAAACATTTTAAGCCTGGGTCTCGTAACAATGAAGTTCATAATTCTTCCCCTGTCCACAAGTATTATTTTATCGATAAAATCAATTTTTGAAACAAAATGGGACATTATATTTAGGACTCAGTAGTAAAATTTAAAATGCTGTTATATATACAAAATTTCAAGAAATGGCATCAAAGCCTAATAAGAAAATTAATTTAGCCATGAAAAAAATCTAATTATACGTTGAACATAGAAATTGCAATTCTCTACACGTTTCGTGAATGATAAACCGGTGACTCATTATCATTAAATTTTTCAATTGCTGACAATATGTGATTTCCATTAAAATAAGGTAAAAGTGTGATTTTAATTCTTTTATTCTATAAAAGATATTATATTAATCCTTTAATTTTATAACGTGCCTTTTTAAGTCCTCTTATCTTAACACAATTAGTTTCATTGACAAAAAAATTGCCAATATTATCAACAAGTTGTTGGTTAAAATGGTACACAAATAACTTCAGTCCTATGAGGAAAAAAAAACACAAATTCAAATTCTAAAAAACACATTTATGAGGAGAAACAAAAATCCTTTGTACTCTAAAACCTTGAAAGGGCTTACCCTTATCAAATAAAAAAAATTTCGAATATTAAAATTTTAAATATTTTTAAAAAACAATTTTAAGTTCTAATATGTTAAGTTAATTTTTTAAAATAATAATAATTGACACACAAAAAATATGATACCGCACTAAAGGTGATAGGAATAAGAGATTGGAAAATAAATAATACAACTAAGGAAACAAACTAAAATATTGTGCAAAGTTAGATGATTAAATGTATATTTTTACTTAGACTTAATTTTTTTTCCAGAAAAAATATTGATATATTTTAAAATTTAAAATAGCACGCAGTTTGTCCTGTCTCGTCGCTTAGTTGTGTCTTATCGAACATATTTATTTATTTTGTTTTTATAGGCCGGAGGAACTTATCTTACATATTTATGATTATTGACCAATCTCAAACTAAGATTGATTTCTCGTCTTCGTTAATCATGGAACACAAATATTACTGATATGATCCACTTGTCATCTTGTGAATATATATATATATATATATATATATATCTCATTGTTCTTTTTGCTCCGTACACAAACACATGTAGACATAAATATTAAATAATCACTATATAATAAACAACATAAGTCGCAGGCGGTTATGTTAGCTTAATTGTATTAAAATCTGATTGGGAGAGCTTATGACTCCTACAATTTTATTGGCTTGATTCAAATAAGTCAGAACATAATATGAGTAATTTTAAATTTTATCTATGGAGTGCCTAAATGTAGGACATTAGGAGCTAAATCTAATACCTATTTTAAACATATTATAAAAACTAGTTAAATTTCACCAGAAAAAATTATTTAAATTAATTATTTATAAAAATATATGTTAATTTTTCTTACTGATTTCAAATTTTTTAATATGCGTAATCAATAATAATTTTGAAAAAAAATATAAGTCTAAAATATAAAATGAATTAAATTTTAAAATAAAAATAAATTTTTTAATTATTTTCTTGGTATAATTCAGAGTATCCTCAAGTTACTTTGGGTTTAAAACTAATCTCTATTGGATCAAAACATTAAAGTTAAAGCTCTTCTAACAAGTGTGCTTTTCAGAATTCGAACTTGTATTTTTCTCTTCATAGAAGGTAAAACTATTTACCATCTCAATCAATGGCTTATTGATAGTTCTTATATTTATGATGGAATGAATTGTTGTGCAATGAGAACTGAGAAGGACAGCAACAACCAAACAGCGACATGTAGCGTCTGTATTTAATAATATGAATCCGGCAAGATTTCACATTCACGTGTACATATTTGTATGGCTGATCTTATCACTCCCTTTGGCTCTAGTGACCCGTGAACATGCTTGTTTTTAATTTATTTTAATAACATGTTGTCAGTGTCTGGCATGCATGTCGTCCAATAAAAACGAGCCATGTATTATGTAATAGTATAATAATACAAGTATTTACTATTTTTAAAGTAATCACATTCAGAGGAACGACTTGCATTCTTTTTTATTACGAAAAATGTCTTTAAATTGTTAAATTAATATGACTATGATTTAATTCCTCAGTTGAGTTTATAGTGCGTTCATGATTTTATTTTCATGACGCATACTTTAGAAAATAATGTTGTTCAATTCTATAATTTTTTATTGCTGTTATTAGTTATCTGTATCGAGAAGTTTGTAAATTTTATTTTTTTTATATATATATTGATATTGACGGTTAATGCTTCCTCATTTTATTTATCTTTAAAGATCACGGGATCAATATCTAGTTTGAAATTTTCTTACCTTTATCAAACGTCATAACCAGGTTGGCAAAAAACGTTTATTCATTCTTAAAAGGTAAAACAATATATATAGCTTTAACAAAATTTGCTTAGTCCTTTACAAATATAGTTGAACTTGGAACTAATCAAAATTTTAAATGCCCTAGATAACATAAATGACTGATCATAATTTTTTAAAAATTTAATCTTAGACAACGTCGTCTCTAGAACACCATAGAGGGAAAATTAAAGTAGAAGATAATTAATCATATAATTTGGACTTGGCTCTCATTATACATCAACTAGCGAAATATATGTGTATTATATATATAATTAATATATCTGTATATATAATGAAAGTTCACAATACAGAACATCAGCACATCTCAGTGTTGAATATATACTGTCGGAATCAATATGGTCGTTGGCCTTCAACGTTGCCCGGTGGATCATAACTGCAAATAACGAACATCCAGCCATTGGTACACTTAGCCCTAGCACAGCCAAGATGATGAGAATCTCTCCAAATGATCTGAGTATAATGAAGGCACTCATCATTGACGCAAGTGTTGGAGTAGTAGTCGTAGTCGGGCCTCTCGGTGAGCCAGAACTTGACAGCGTCGGAGCCCTTCATGTCGCCGTAGCCCTCGGCGATGTTCTCCCCGAATGGCCCGCCGGAGTGCTCCAAGTTGCAGTCGTAGCTTCTCTCGTTGGCATAGTTCTGAGCATACGACTCCAAGGTCTCGTTCCAATACAGAGGACCCACACCAACTTCTTCACGAGCTTCATTGTGCACTTGAAGGAAGTCTTGTGGAGTGTTCTGGGCAAGGCAAGTGAAGAAGGACAAGGTTGAGAAGATGATGAAGAAAATGGCCAAGAGATTGAGATTTGAGGACCTCATTTTGTCCTGTTTGATAAGACGCATGGGAATTAATGAAGGATATGTGATCTGAGTGCGTGTCTATAAATAGAGGAAGAGGATAGAGAAAGCCTGGACGAAAAAATTAAATATATAGAGCAGAAAAGTATAGAAGGATGGGAATTAATGAAGGATATATCATTGGAGTATATATCTATAGATCAGAGGAAGAGGATAGAGAAATAAGCTTGGACAAAAAATATAGAAGCAGAAAAATACAGAAATTTTTTGAGGGGACAGCTTCTGTCAGTTAGAGAAAGCCTTTTGTTCTGCTTCTAAGTAAATCATAAGATTCTATGACGACGAAAAAAACAAAATTCAGCAGAAAAATGGTTAATAATGTCAAATGTGGAGAGGTGCGTCTGTCGTTTGTGAAATCAACAATGAGTTAATGTAAGAATTAAATAAGGTTAAATACGCATTTTGGTCATTTGAATTTATATAAGGTTTAAAAAATATATATTTTGGTCATTTGAATTTATATAAGGTTTAAAAAATATATATTTTTAGTTTTTTAACCCTAGAATTATTAGTATTAAACGATTTTTTTATGATATTTTTTCTGTGACAATCATAATTATTTTGAAAATTGAACTTAAATGACTAAAAATATACTTTAGTTATTAAATAAAGTTAAGGTTGATCCTAAATATAATATCTTAACTTATTTTGTATTTGTTGGCAAATAAATTGATTTTTTTTATCTTATATCATTTTTCGCTAAAACTAATTTAATCAACTTATATGTTGATATATAATTCAATGGAAGAGCTTTACACTCATCTAGTCTAACTTAACTCAATTTAAATTAGTCTAAGCAAGCTACCAACAGGGATTAGATCTAGTACAAAAGGCTAGTCCTCCATGACTTAGTGAACCAATGTTTGAATTTTTCTGGGAGAGATACCCATATTTAATGTCTGACAGTGTCTTGAGCAGGATTGTCTCTAATAAGAGAATACCTGGTCCTAGCCAAAAAAAAAAAGTCTAAGCTAAATGTGATTTCTGAAAACTAATTGGTGTTTTAAAAAAAATATATGGTTCTTAATTACTTAGCCTCATATTGTGAATCAATCATTAAGGGGCTTCAAATGTCATTTTCAAGTATTGTCATACATTTCATTGAGAACATGTGGATAATATATAACCGAATATTGGCAAAACAAACTGAGGGGCCCAGTCCTTCACATGCACCTTTATGACATTAGAAATCAAATTTCACGAGTGACCAGCCCACAGATTTTGCAAGCTAATATATACATATACATATACACACACATATTTGGTTCAACTCAAAGTATTCACAACCAGTGACAGTGATTAGTCCTCTAATACTATAGACTTTTTGAGAGGGTTTTAGTAATAGCCACGAGACTCTCTTCATAGACTCTCTTCATACACATCGTTAGGAATCAAGCCCAACTACATGTTTAAGGGACTCGGCCAAGTACTAACTATGCTAGGTCTTATGATTTATGTATATTAATTTGAAAAAATGTGAAGCCTAAGAGACCTAGCTAAGTGCTAACTATGCTAGGCCTTATGGTTTTTATATATATATATATATATATATTAATTTTAAAAAATGTGAAGCCTAATTTTCTTCCGTTAATTTTGCTTTCGATACAGAAAATGATGGCTTATTATTGGAAGATTAGGCGTGCAAGTTCCTCAATTGGAGCTTATTTATTTAACCAACTTTGTTTTTCATGTTCACGGATCATTCCACTTACGTACAAATTAAATTTGCTTACGTTTTTCTTAGCATCCCAACAAAGATTTTATTATCACTTAAACTGGATTAATGCAACTGCAATGTCCTACTTCTCAAATATAATTAATTTATTGTTTGATTGATATTATTCTCACCAGTTAATTAAATAAATAGTGCCAAAATAATTGTGATTCTGTACAAAGGATAACAAACAGTAATGTTGACAAGTTTGGTAAGTATTCTATTCACCTTGGAGATGTGCCAAGTGTCGATATCTCCAATGATAAATCATTATTCTAATTTAATTTGAATAATTCAGATTTTATTATTATTTTCACTTTTTTATAAAATATTTTTTACTTATTTTTAAAAAGACCTGCCTTGATTATTGTGGATTTGTTAATAAAATCATTTTCATAACATATGAATTACCAATAAATTAGCCCCTGATGTTCCACATATGATTAATTAATTGAATGAATTAAGAATATATCTATCTAATTTATATTTGTATATATCATAAAAATGTTATTTTTATTAAATAAAGGGTTAATTAATCCACAAGTCCTTATAGTTTCAATAAATTTTGAATCAGGTCCTTATAGTTTTTTTTCTTTTTATCAGGTCCTTATACTTTTACTTTTTTTTAATTAGGTTCTTGTATTTATTTTTCTTTTAATTAAGTCCTTATAATTTTACTAAATTTTTAATCAGTCCATGTAGTTTTAATTTTTATTTATTAATTAAATATAAGCTTAATTAAATAGATTAATATTGAAATATAAAATATTAATAATTAAATTAAATTAATAATTATGTAATAAAAAAGTAATAGAAAATTAATTAATTCAGGAAAATTTTTTAGAACAATTAATTTTTTTCTGAAAAAATTAAAATCATTATAATAATTCAATATCTTTAGAATATTATTGTTTATAAACTAATATTAAATAATATATACTATTTTATGTTTATATAATAGTACAATTAGAATTTATAAAATAAAGAATAAAAAATTCAGGGACTTAATTAAAAATAAAGTGAACTTATAAGCACTTGATAAAAAGAAAAATAAATACAAGAATCTAATTAAAAACAAGTGAAAGTATAAGGATCTAATAAAAAGAAAAAAAACTATAAGGACTTGATTCAAAATTAGTTGAAACTATAAGGAGTTATAGATTAATTATCCCTTAAATAAATACAAAAGATTAACAATTGAAAATTAATAATATGGATAGCTTAAGATGTTTTCATATTACGGATACTATATGATGATTTGATCATTTATCTTTCCCTTCCTTTTTTTTTTTTTTTGGCCAAAAATTTGTCCGTCCTTTCTGATATTGTTCTTTTTCAAACCAAATAAAGAAAGGGAATCAGAAATTGAATGCTCCTTCCTTTAATTTTCATCCTATACCCAAAAAACGATAATTTTTACTCTGATCACCAACCTGAGTCTTCTTTATTTCAAGAAATAAGCTCCTAGCTAGCTAGTAGAGGGATCTGATCTGATTGAAATATAAGATCTCAAATAGTTTTGTGTGCCTATGTCTTTTGAAAAATACACTTTTAATAGTAAAATTGCACCCCAAAAATTACTTTAGAATAGTATTACTAGGAACCAAGCTATTATTTTCTTCTCTAAAACTTGTCATTACTAACTGTTCTGTTGTCATTAAGATTTTTCTATAATTATGTTTCTTTCTTAAAACTTCATAGCAATTCTCCTAAGAAAAGACTGAAGCATGGGAAATTACATCCATCACCCAATCAAACTTTGCCCAAACAGTAGCAACGCAAGGTGACTTGATAATCCAGTCCAAAGGAAAATGCAAAAGCCTTTGCCCAAAAAAAAAAAACGGTTACGTTATTTTTTTTGGCCAAAAAACGGCTACGTTGTTCAAACAACCTCAACTACTTAATATAAAAGATGAAATTTCTCTCACATATTTAATATAAAAATTTAACTGACGTAAAGAGATTAAAAAACTCAAATAAATAAATTATTATTATTAATGTAACATGATTTTTCTAAATACCTACGTATAAAATTATATCACATGTCAATTTATAAGTTAGTTAAATTAGTTCAAGTGAAATTGATAAATAGGTTAGGCAAAAAGATTAAGATCATATATTGAGGATCAAATTCAACCTTTCAGCGTAACTAACTTTTATATTAAAAATCAAATGGAGTATCTTTTTCATATGGGTATGGTTAATTATAAAATTAATTATTTTTCTCTTATTCATTTAAATATATGGAGAGAGAATATTTTTCCCCTTCACTTTTGTCTCCGCATAATTTTCTCTCCCTTTGTCATGGCTCTATTTTCACTTCGCATCCAAATAAATCAGAAGAGAACTAAATAATCTAATGGCGAAAGTGTATCTTTGTCCTCCAACTTGTATAATACTACCCGTAGATTCCAGTTCTAAATATAAAATTTAGTTTGTATTTAGAACCAAAATATTTTGTTGCGAATGAACAAAATATTGAGGAATTGTTCATACGTAAAATCATAATTATTGATACAGGCCTTTTCCACATAAAAAGGGATTCTTTTGTTATAATAGAAGCGGAAGTGATGTCGATTATTTTGATCCCTTAATTTTATAAAGTATTTTTTCCAACTCTCTAAAATGATAATTTTTTTTTTGCCTTAGTCATCTTTATTTTTAAAAATTGAACGTAACACATCAACATCTAAAAAATGTTAAGGATTTTAATGTTAGAAAATTGGAAGGACATCTTGTAAATTAAAATTAGAAGACTAAAACAAAACTTTGTGTAAAGTTAAAGTGGGACGAAGTGGTCAATATGGAGAAGCACATGGAAGTTAAAGAACAAAGAATTAGGCGTCGATTATGATTAAATGAGTGGGCAGAAAGTAGAGGGAGGAGGGTTACAATATTCAAACGGATGAACAAACCTCAAGAAAGTTTTTTGTCCATTACTGAGTTTTTTCCTTGGACTGAACGTCCATTACTGAGTTGAAAAGAGAAAAAAGGTTGTCGTATAGTTGAAGCTGTGAACTAACGATATTAACGGATGACTTTAAGCCGCAAAGTTTGACCACAAAGTTATTATTGGACATTGGGTAATAATTATTGAATTTTAAAGATAAAAAAGAAAATTAGAAAAACACCTGTGATTAAGGGCCGTGTCCCATGGGAATGTAGGATGTCTGGCATCAAAGCATGTCAAAATACTGCCTTCTTTGATGAAAAAAATTAAGATAATCAAATTAATTAATTAATTAATTATAACAAATATGATATGATGGTAAGTGGTCTTACCACCATAAGAAGAAGAACAAAAGTTCGAATCTCAAGAAGTGCACTTATTAAGAGAATTTTAACTTCAATGCTTTTGACCTAATAGAGATTAATCTCAAGTCCAAAGTGATTTGAAGACAATCTGGGTTAC